GTGCCCTTGGGAAAGGCACTTTACACGACTTTCCTCACTTCGCTCAGGTGTAAATGAGTATTGTACTGTCCCTGTGTTGGTGGCGGCATTAATATAAGGCCATGTTGATTTGATTATATGGATGACATCCTCCGGGAGCCCCAAAACTGATGCGCGCGTGCGAATAAAAAAAAAGTTTTCAAAAAAAAAAAAGTTGTTTTCATTATGAAATCTACGTGGTCATGAGGGTTGAACAAATGGGACAGAATATGGTTTGGCGAATAGTCTAATCTTCAAGTTCATTTCCTTACAATTTCGTCTTTTTTTGTTTGATTTTGGCATTCTACGACATTGGTATAGTTTTTACTTATTTTTCTGTAACTTACGGTATATTTTTGCTCATTTTACAACTGTTTTGTACGATTTACAGTATGGTTGAAAACTTTTCTTTTTTTTTGGAAACGGCCGAAAATTCATGCGCGCGCGGATGTCATCCATATAATCAAATCAACATGGCCTAAGTTGAAAAGACTTGAGTGTGCCGTCACCACGTCTTGTGATTACATGTTTCGGAATATAAAAAAAAAAAGCAGAGGTTGATGGTGGAAGATCGTTTGCTTTTATATATGGCCCCTTTTTTGTCGCTACCACCACAATGGTTACAGATTGGCCAATTTGATACTATCTTACTGATCCCCACCAAAAGATCTGCTTGGAGATTACCCAAGGGCCCGTCACTCACACAGAGGCAACCTACCCATGAATCATTGCGCCCCGAAACTTGGACCGGGGTGGTCACGGGTAAGTCACGTTTTGGTCATTTTCTTCCGAGAAAATCCATTGAATTCTTGTCTTATACAGCGAAACGGTACGACTTTTTTATGTTTTGACAAAGATTAATGACTGTCAAAATCATTTGCAGGTGGGTGGGCGAACTTCGCTTAAGCCATGCTGAGAATTGGCTGAGCATTTTTGACTGATTGTTCGGCTGGACTTTGCCGTCTGTGTGTTTGCATGACTGAACAGGTAACGACACTCACATGATTGACTTGTTGCTACTGAGACAATAATTATGCAATGTTACAAAGTCGTATGTTTTATTAATACTTCCTTCGATATCTTCAGTGTTTGCCATTTACACTTTTAACGCCCTGACGCATCGCATACAATATCTATCACCGTCCGAATACGCCCAAGAAGTAAACGATGTACTTAACATGGGAGAGAAAAGGGGAGGGGTTGGAGGGGCTACACTCCAAGCAGAGGTCTCTTCAGCAAAAATAAGCAGAACTTCTGCTTGTCTTTGGCGTGTCCTAGGTGTTTTTATAAGGCTCTATTTATATAATGTCCTTGACCAGCCTAATTGGGTGGCAAATGGTATAAATTGCCTGACAAATAAATGCTGTCTGGCTAATTAATTTGATACTCTTTGCAGCCACCGAAAAAAATTATGCTTGGAACTTGGAGGAGGGGGGGGGGGCATGAAGACTGTCCTTCATTATGGTAGATAAAGTCAGCGATTCGTCTCAGGTTCAAAGATGAGATATCTGCAACATCAAACTAAATCAAACTTTAAACTAATTCTCTTCCAGTTCCCTTGGTAAAGGACCTCTGATACGCTGATACAAATTTTATTGTTCATTCATTATCATATTACAAATTAAGTTACACATGTATTAGTTAAAGGATGGGCGGAGCGAGTTTATGTGGATTTGGTACAGCCCCGCCCTCCCAAGGATTTTGTTGGCATCCCGAGGGCGGAGCCCGAGGGGTGCCAACAAAATCCGAGGGGGGTGCGTGGCTGTACCAAATCCACATATACGAGCAATTCGCCCATCGTTTAACTGACTTAGAACATGACCATCTTTCCGAAGCAGAAGAAATACATTTTACACAATCATGTTTTGTTTTAAATAAAAAACACTCATTCGTTTTCCTAGAAACCTTACCAACAACATTACAGCATGTAGTACGTCCTTTTGTTCTCATTCATGAATTGCAGCTGAGCTACTTTTGGCAGCCTTATGTGAAATATGCATAGCAGTTGCTTTCTTGTCATGCTAGCCCCACAATGCCTTCTGTTTTTGAGTTGAAAAATTCTGGTTTGTCTGTTGAGACAGCAGTCTCTGATCTGATCTGAAAGAAGTTGGTTGTGGCGTCTTTCTGCCGGCCTGTTCTGTTCCCAGGCCGTTCCTGCTCTAACCACTTCCCTCCCTCGCCCAGTGCCTGTCCTGCTGTCCAACCATGTTGGTGTATAATTTCCTTTTTTTTAGTTTTTACTGTATTTTGTTTTCAAAGTTGAAGAATGTGCGAATCGTGTTAGACATGTTGGGAAGACTTTGCATCGTTTTAATGTATCGCTAAAAGTTTGTAGCTTCCGTGTTTCATTTTTTACAATGTATGAGAAACTCTCATTTTAGTATTTTGCTTGACATTTGTAAGAAACCCTCTGATTTTTTTTGCTTCATTCATACTCATTATTCATTCTCTGTTTGTTGTTCACTTTCATTGTCATGAGTGTTTCTTTTGTTTACCTTTTTGAATAAAGATGTACAGGAAAATCAATCAAATTGCCGTTTTCCTGTGTTGTTAATGTTTTTAATTGATTTTATTTGCATGTGAATGGTGGGGGTCTCCAACTTAGTCAATTTATTCGTTGGTTAGTACATGGGCGTCTCCAAGTTAGTCTAATTTATTCGTTGGTTAGTACACCCCTGTCCCTTTGGGGGCCGCACTATGTGGATTTAGTCACAAGAAATACAGGCTCCTGATTGGCTGAGGAAAGGTGGCCATGTTCTAATGTGTTATTAAGCCCCTTTACAGCCATAAATACTAAGTGTTCCTTTCCTTTTCATTGTTTCTACCAGATTTCCTGAGAGATAAAACGCATCATGTCCAGAGCTAAAACCTTCTTCGGACGTCGCAGGCAAGAGCTCTTTGCTGAGCTCAACAGTCAACGTCAGACTGGAGAGTTTGTTGATATGGTGATGATGGTACAGAATATGAGGTTTCGCTGTCACCGGACCATATTGTCATCTACATCATACTTTAAAGCCATACTGTCCAAAAGACGTACCGAGGGTATAACTTCAAACGTCGTAGAACTCCAAAATATTGCCCCCCTCTGCTTTCCCAAGATCCTTGACTTTGTGTACACAGGACAAATCACTATCAGTCAAGACGACGTCAAGGATATTTTGCAGGCGGCACACAAGCTTAAGCTTAAAAAGATAAAGAAATACTGCCTCGAGTTCATGCATAGAAGAATACAGCAGTCCAACTGTCTCTTTTTCTTGCACCTTGCCAACCTGTATGGCTTTTCTGACCTGAAAGATGTAGCAAAGACCACGGCAGTACATGAATTCTGGAAAGCCTCACAATATGACGGTTTTCTGACTCTTTCATCAGATGAACTCGTGGATCTTCTCCAAACTGATCTGCTTAAAGTTACGAGTGAAGACGAGGTCACCACTTCTGTGATACAATGGCTCGACCACGATCCTGATAGTCGGAAGCAAGCATTGCCCACGATTTTGCAAGAGATCCACTTGTCATGTGTCCACGTAAGTGTCCTCAGGGAACTTGAGTCCCATCCTGCAGTTCTTGAGTCTGCTGAATGCCTGGCAAAAGTCACAGCAGCCAAGGAGGAACACCTCAATGGGACAAGCCAGCTGACAGCAGGGGCTGAGGGGCGTGGGGCTAAACCTAAACGTAAGCCTCCTGCGTCCGATGGCCTGACAATCATCGTTGGTGGTTGGAAAGTTGAACAACCAATTCCCCTGAAAAGTGTCATTTGTCTAGAACCAGATGATCAGCATTGCTACCACATCACTGACCTACCAATACCTGCTCTTGGGTACACAAGTGTTGCGAATGCTGGAAGACACTTGTACATATCAGGCGGGTGCCTCTCTCCAATGACCCGTGATGGTTCGCACACTAGTGCACCAATCAAGCAAGCCTTTTGCTATGACTTCCTCACAGACGCTTGGACACAGCTACCCGACATGCCTCGTGGTAGGGCAGAGCATCAGTCAGTAGTCGTTGATGGGAAACTTTTTCTGGTTGGTGGTGACGTGGAAGCAGCGTCCGACGAAGCTGCCTCGATTGACATGACAGGTCCACTCAGCATCGACTGCTATGATCTTCAAAAAGGGACGTGGATAAAACCACCCACAATACCACCAATTAACCCTTCGTCAAAATGGAACTTCAAGGTAGCATCCTGCGGGGGTAAACTTGTCCTTGTTGAGGGTGAGATCAAGATCAAGGAATCTCGAGAGACACTCTGTGTTCATGCCCTCGACGTTCCAGGCAGAGAATGGACATACTCGGACATTTCATGGGGGCCTGCAGTGTACTCGAGCTCAAGTAATATCTCAGTAGACATCTCAGTGAATGCTATAGATGACAAAGTTTATGTTTGTGCCTATACTAGATATGGTACATTATTGTTCGCTTACGATGTCAAAACTGAAAGCCTGACGATGGTCAAGAGTGCACAAGCCTCAAGAAGCATTAAATTTCTTTGCACCACCCTCTTTGAAAGGATTGATCTACCCGATGATGTTCCACTACCAGAGGGTACAATGGATGCTACCCGTATGATATCTATCTACGATCATGAGTTATCGTTTGTGGACAAAGTCAGACGCGCAGATGGACATATCCCCTTTGCCGTGTTTGGCTGTAGTGTTCTTAGAACCAAGAAGAGTAGCATTGGATGGTACTGTCGGGACCGGCATGCAATTTATGTAAATGACGACAAAGATGTGATTGAGATGAGGCCAGGTCATCGCTGTAGAGGAGGACTCAAAAGGCCAGACCCGTCTACACGTACAGTGCGCTTCAAAAATGACGACCATTCACGTGACCTTGGTGATAAGCTTGTACGTCAGTGTAATACCGGCACATACGCCGATGTGGTATTAGAAGTTGAGGGCCGAAAAGTTCGTTGCCACCGTGCTGTGTTGGCATCCACACCTTACTTCAAAACCATGTTCTCCTGCAGCCTTAAAGAAAGTAACTCAAGGGTTGTAAAACTGTGTGGAATTGATTTCAACAGCCTCAGGAAGATCCTAACATTTCTATACAAAGGATCAATCCAAATCAGTGGAGACAACGTCCAGGAAATCCTGCAGGCGGCACACATGCTGCAAATTGATGAGATCACTGAGTTTTGCCGGTCGGTCATTCAAGACAACATTCACGCTTGCAACTGCATAGGTGTCATGCGCCTTGCCAACCTGTATGGCTTTTCTGACCTGGAAGAGGAGGCAAGGCGTGAGGCTGTAACTCAATTCTCCGAGGTCAGACAAGATGAGGAGTTTCTCAGTCTTTCGACGGCTGAGCTCGTTGATCTACTCGGAGACGATTGCCTTAAAGTTACAAGTGAAGATGAGGTCGTCACATCTGTGGTACGATGGCTGGACCATGATCCTGAAAGCCGCAAGACATCAATGCCTGCAATCTTGCAAAAGATTCGCTTACCATATGTGAAGGTCAGTATGCTAGAGAAGCTGGAATCCCACCCAGGGGTACTGGAGTCCGCTGAATGCCTGGCCAAAATCACAGCAGTCAAGCAGGGACATCTTACTGGTAAACTACAGCTACTAGAATATGAACATAAGCGATCCGGAAGATCAGATGACATGGAAATCACTGTTGGTGGGTGGAGAGGACGGGCCCACTACTGGCATTATGTACAGGCAATTCCCTTGGAAAGCATTATATGCAGGGATCCAGATGACCAGCATTCTTTCCACATCACTAAACTTCCAACAGCTGTTTCCGGCTACATGAGTGTGGCAAGAGCTGAACGACACCTGTATGTGACAGGTGGGCGCGCCCATCCTTTGGTCGGCCAGGGTCCTCATAGTGCACCATCCAGACAAGCCTTTCGGTACGATTTCCCGGAAGACACCTGGACACAGTTACCCGACATGACTCGAGGTCGGGCAGGGCATCAGTCAGTAGTTGTTGGTGGGAAACTCTTCCTGGTTGGTGGTGACACTGACGACACGCCTGCGTTCAGCATGGATTGCTACGATCTTGAAGAAGATGCTTGGATAAACCCAGCACCTACACTGCCAGAAATAGACCCTTCATCGACACTAAGACTAGTAGACACTTCATCGAACCATGTTGTACTCATTGAGATTCCAACGGATACCAAGGAATGCACGACGAAAGACGTATTGAGGCGGGTTTTGGGTTGGAATCTAAAAGTCGATCGGAAGCAACTTATTGTCCATGTCTTAAATACACCGACGGCTCCGCTTGGCTCCGATGACGATGAATTCGCCTTAACTGACAACAACTCAAGCCTGCTTGATAACCCCCACTCAAAGTCAAACGGTCAGGTTGGTCGGCAGCCAGAAGCCGGATTTAGTCAGGATAACGACAAATCCACTGAGAATGATGATGACTTTGCGGCCATTTTAAGAGATTTACCTTTGCTAAATTGCAAGGACAATGAAGATGCATATGATGGTGATGATGAGAAGGAGGAGGAAGAAGAAGACAAATATGACGAAAATGAACAATGGACACGCTCAGATATTCTCCTGCTTTACAATCTGGATGGCCATGACATCTATGTGATTTCTGTCAATGACAAGGTTTATTTCCATTTTGTTCCTGCCAAGGAGACCGGCCAAAGAAACATTCACCATGTTCAAGTCTACAATGTCAAAGAGAAAACCACAACCGATCTACTGAAAGTAGGCGGCTTCAGTCACTCAAAACGTGGCTTCGGTCGCTACTATTATGTTTTTGACAGGTTTTCAGATGCCATAATCAACCATAAGTTCCAAGACATGGCAATCGAGAAGTGTGAGGCATCGACCTCCCTGTTTGGCCCTGGAACCTCCCTGTTTGGCCAAAGTGTCCTTACAGTTGATAAGAGAGGCATCGGATGGTACTGCCGAGATCTTGAAAAATTTGAGAATGTTGACAAGCCAAATCAGAGTCCATGTGTAATTGCAGAAGATGAGGAGGATCAGGACACTGATACAAATGATGAGGAAGAGACTGATGATGACAATTGACATGTTACATCTCGGCTTCTGATCTGTCTCAAGTTGTTGTTATTGACAAGCGGACTGTTAACCAATAACTGAAGAACTGGAACACCTGGGATGTATACTGGACAAGAATTGTTGCCTGAAACTTTATTACACATGTACATTATAACATTTGTGAAAGAAGAGCAATCTACATCTCCCTTGTGCTAATTTAATTGTCCACTATGAGACAGGGTTGATATAGGTTGTATACATGTATTTAATTCCACTTTAGTTGTTAGTTGAGGTTATTATGTTTATGAATTCATTAATTTCTTCCATGTAACATTTATATATTATAGATTTGAAGTGAAGTGATATATTATACATTTCCTTAAGGAGTTAAGATTTGAGCAATGCCCCTAGGGGCTCTACATGCATGTACATTTATATATAGGACCCCATATAGGACTGTAGGTTCTCTTGTTTTTTGCCTTGTTTGCATTTTTTTAATACAAAATTTCGTCCGAAAATGATGCATGGCATACTATACCAAATGATGAGGGCACAGAAGTTCCTGATAGTATTATCTCTTCCATATTTTGACACACCAATGTATCAGCTTGTACCAGTATGTTATCAACAAGTGCGATGGGTTCTTAAGTTTAAGGTTCTTACAATTGGGGGTCATATGGTATTATTTATGAGATTATACAGCAGGGATAAGGTTAGAAGAGCCTCTTCAAACACACAACTGTCAGCTTACACACATTCGCTCTTATAACATTGGAGTGTTCTGTGTGTTTAAGGCTTTAACAGGTGGTTGCACTTAAAATGTGGAGGCTTGATGTTCTCCAGCTATAATGTTGCCTGAAATAAAAGCAGTTCTTGAACATTATCATTTTGTATTGATGCGTTTTTCCGGCGTATTTGTTTTACATATGAAACCTATAGCTACACAAATATGTTGATCACTTGTCAAACTTGAAACTTTGCCACCTGCCTTGTTAATGGTGCTCTGCTGCAGTTACAGATCTAATCAGTAGATGTCGCTTCTACATAGTTTACTGCGGTACTGGTCTACTTTTCCATGGGTGAAATTCACTTTATTTACTTATAGAATAAAACTTTAAGTTACCCCTACGTATAAAAGACAAGTTATTTTACGTTGTACTTGAGTGTTATTTTATTCAAGTTAATTTTTTTACATTCGTTTCTCTTCGCTTCTGTACGTTAGACGAAAGCAATATAACGTTAAATGTAGAGTTTTACCCATAGTCTAAATGGACTAGTCTAGTTCGAAAACATGGCGGTGCACATCACGTTGACGGAGAGCCGTAAGAAGACGGCGGTACCTGACGCGCCGAAACACCTGGTGACGCCGGGCGACGTCATCACGGCGGACACGGGATACATGAGGTACCGAGCTACGGGGGTTGTTGCATCTGGGGGGCACCGGGGATAGAGATATCGTACTTTTTAGTAGCGTTGTAGGGAGGGGGGCATAGTCAACACATATGCACATGGCGTTTTGTTCATATCCTGATGTGTATCATCATATTGTATGTGTATATTATCGTGTATATGCAAGAAGATACCAGCCCTTCAGCCGAAGTTGCAGGGCTAATATCAATTAGGATATTACCGTGAAGGAGGCCACATAGGATAATATATAGCGGTAAGTTTATTATATATATATATATATATATATATATATATATATATATATATATATATATATATATATATATATATATATATATATATATATATATATATATATATATATATATATATATATATATATATAT